CAGCATATGACTTGTTTTGTGTTTAAAACCGCTTCTTCATTTAATCAACTCGGCGATCACTGATATGATGTATTGCTTTTACAAAATAAAAAAATGTGCTAATTCGTTTTCCAAATTATAATTAAATCTACAGCGTAAAAGTCACACAGTCAGTGGAGACGCCTTGAGAATGGCGTGAAACATCACCTATCCATCTCTCTGCATAAAATATACGTTAGATGGCGATACTATCTTAACGCGGCTTGCACATTCGTAATAAAGTCGTTGTAATTCGAAGGCAGGTGTTAAGTTAGGTTTAGGAGTGTGGATGAATAAATAAAGATTGAACGAAGTGAATATATATATATATGTGTGTCTAAATATATTAATAATTGTGCTATAACTCATGTAAGAATGTAAAGTTTTAGTAACACTAACACTTTATCACTGTCATTACTGTGTTAGGCGTTTGTATAAATTTAGTAATACTAATACTATTGGAGTTAGACAGAAGTCAAGGCTGCAAGTTTTAACTTGTATTGTTCATTTGTTGTAGAATGGGTACTCTGAAAGCTTTAGTCAACATCGGTAAGTATATGATACAGTGACATACACCATGCCCTAAATCAGAGTAAATGTAAATTGTATCATGCGTTGTGTTTGATTTGTTTTTTATGAACCCTTGTAATATATATATAGGCATTTGAACTTGAAGCATGTGTTGTAATTTATTCTTCTGAATTAACTACTACAGGCACAACTTTAAAGGAGGCCTAGTTTTTTATTTATTTAATCTGTTTATATCAGTAGCATAACTACAAAAGATGATCCCCCCCCCTTGCATAAAAGTAATTGGGACCCCCTTACATTTATTTCCCTGTAATTGTAGTTATGATGTTGACCAATTGATATCATTAACTTAAATTAAAATTCAAAATTAAACCAAACATAAAATTTCATTTAGTGTTTATTTTCAAATTATGCATGTATCAAATTTTGGACCAGTTAGTTTATGCATTGGTGAAAGTGAAGTACATAGTAGTATGCATGGTGGAACTGTAATTATTATATATCCACCTGGATAATATGGACCACTAACTGAGGGTGTTATTTTATGGACTCAATCTGCTCTGTCTTTCTTTGAAGGTTTTTACTGTACCAGAATAGTGCGACCACATTAAATTTTATGTCTCTCCCCTTGTCAACAATTCTTAAGTTTGTCAGGCCCTATGGGCTTGCTCACCCCCAGTTGTGGGGGCATACTTAACATCATTGGTTTATATGATGCTCCAAGGTTACCGATGAAGAGCAAAATTCCTTGAATTTCAAAACAAGTCTAGTTTAATGACAAATAAAAAGTCAAATGATAGGCTGGGCTTCACATTTAATTCTTACCAAAATTTATAAGTTTGATGATATGAGAAAAAAAATCTATCTTATAGGATTAATGCTAAATCATTTAATACAGAATTGTGAGTTAGACCACTATTTATCTGGTAATAATATTACTATTAATAAGAAGTTGTAAATTGTGTAAAGGTAGTATAGGCTTGTCATGATAGCATAAGTTAACTCTGTAAGTAGGACTAGATCTTCTGAATCCATCTCTTCAGTAAAACTAGCATTGAATAATTTTTTTTTTTACTTACAGGTATAAAGGTATGGTCATATAATCTGCTTCAAAGTTATATTTAATTTCTTGATTATGCTACGCTTTGTTTAATCTATTTTCAAAGGATTTAACAGTTTGTGCAGACATTACATCTACAGCCAGATTGTTGCAAATGTCCACTATATTTTGTATGAAACTAAACTGCCATAAATCACTTTTACATAGAACTTAAGGAATGACAGCTAGTATTTGTTGAAGCTATTAAAATGAATATACTTTTAGCTAGCCTATTTTCATCATATATGGTTTAAGTTATCTTTGATATACATTATACTAGTTACATAGAGCTGATTGTATAAGAAATATTCTAATAGTTATTATTACTAAGTCAGTGATCACAGAGTAGTGTGATAACCACTCCTACTTTGTTAATAATATTATTGTTAATATGATGTTGCTAGTTGTGTAAGGACACTTCATATCTTATCCATCATAATAGCATAAAGTTGCTTTTTTGTTGTGTTTTCTTTTGAAATATCTAATCTGATTGCCTTGGATATTATAATACTCATAATGATTTATATTATTATTGTACAATTGATGTGTTAATAAAAAATAAGCATAAGATTTAAATTCATCCATATGTTGTTAGTGTTAAAAGTATGCAGTAATTTGAATGGATTGGTTTGACTTTTCAGTGTTTCCAACGAACCCTGACAAAATGGCAAAAATTTGTTAAATTAAGAATAGAAAAGAAATTTAATTTTAATTTTGTTTGTTAATTTTATTAGTGTGTCAATTATACAAATGTGAGAGGGTGCTCCAGGATCATTTCAGTGCTGGAGGAATAAAAAAAAACCCATCGTCATTAAGGTTCAGGTTTAAGGTCAGGTAAATAAAAAAAAAAGAAGAAAGACATATCTAGAACTTGAACAATTGGCCATTGTGATGGTAGCTGTGACATGAGCTTATGAAGTAAAATATATAAATGGTCATGAAATTTACATAGAAATTATTTTAGCTTTGCAAAATGTGAAATTTAAACATTAGATGTGGATGTGTATCTTATTTTTCACAATAACATCGCTTGAAATTTAATATTAGTCTCTTTGACTGTGCAAACATTTGTGCCATGCCTTCTCACATGTCATCATAATCCTTGTACAGTAAGAATATTAAATATTTTAACATTTATTTCTTAAAATTCTATTTCGTAGTAGATAACCATAGTTATTAACTTTACAAGATGGAAATGTGAATTAAACCTTTATGTTATATGATTTGGGAATTTTAATATATACATCTTAGAGATGCAATTCCACTTAGTTATGACTGTCAGAATTTAAAACATAGAATCTTCTTTTTCACCATTTGTTAAAATATATCTTAATAGTACAAATATATACTATGTTGTTGTTGGGCTTAGGATTCTTTTACAATAGGTGTCTGTGACTTGTTAGCAATAAATTCAACGATAAATAAACAGCACATACTTCACTTGTTTTCAAAATAATATATATATTCGGAACAACTTAAGCACATGTGCAACAAATTTTTCACACCAGAGATTATAGGCATATCGTAAACACTATATATGTAGTTCTCTCCTTCTTGTCAAAAGTCCATTTGGGCCTATTCAATTACTTTAGAATTTCAGTTGACAAGCTGAACTGTCTTCTCTATTACTATCGCACTAGTATTCTGTGTGTGATTCACTTACAGTTGTAGCACAAGTTACCGTAATCTCTTGGTCTTATTTCTTCTGAAAATTATCTGTTCTTTTTGCCAAAGTGCACTTAGGCTGATTCAATTACAGTAGAACCATACTTTGATGGAATAATTCATCTTATCTCTTGTTAGTCTTACTCTGACATATTAAACGTTAGGCCTATCACTTTTACGGTAGCTAACTTCATGTCAAACTTTTCCTTGCCCTGTAACTTTACAATTTTTTGCTATTATCTATTTGCTGTTTCAGCTTGCTCACACTATTTATATGTCTGCCCTTCTTCTACATTCTTGACGTCAATATATTGCACGCGACATTCGAAAGGCTCAACATCAATTAATTATAAACACAATTTCCTACAATCGTCTGCTTTTAACTGTTATTATAACAAAAAATACACAGTAATAAAATATTCACTCACAAAAATAAATTAATCAATAATATCTAAACTAAACAGTCTTTATCATGACAATGCGCAAGTGCCATGAAGGAAGTTCAAACATTCATATTTTTGTTGCCTTTGCTTTGAAAATAATCATACTGTACTTTTTAAACCATCATACTAGAAACTCCAAAGTCACAAGAACCAATTCTTCATTTTTATATATACTTTTGGTTGTATTTCATATTTTGGCAAATCCCTATTTTGAGATCTGATCTTTAAACTTTGGAAATGTACCTCATGAAATAACATAGTTTGAAATCTCACTTTCAGCAATTTTGCTGACTATATGAGAATGTTTGATAGGATATGTCATGTTAGCAAATTTCATGTGAGAGATGTTTGAGTGGATTAAAGTGTGAAATTTGAGATACTTGTAGCATAAAATTTTTTTATATAAACAGTTCAAAATTTCAGTATGAGGAAGAACAATGAAATATCCTGTAGTTGTATAGAATAAATATGTAATATTCTTATTATGTGCATATTAATTTTCAGATTCTTTCCACCCTGTTCAGGATCCCTAGTAATATTAAACAACAAGCCCAAAAAATATTGATCTTTATGAAACAAATCTTTATAAAGAGAGTATTCTGTTTTCGAGGGTAACACTACTATCTTTTAGTATGACACCAACAATACAGTTAGCAATAACTAGGTGTGACTTTTTTGACAGATCCATTGATTATCATGTTTTGATCTTGTATAAATTTTCTGAGGAACATAAAATCATCAACTGAAAAAATACTCTCCTAAAGATTAAAATACTAAGTACTATTGGTAGTAAACACAGCCAATTATGTATCTCCTAAGAACAACAAAATTTATTTAAAGAATAACCAAAATGGATGTTGTTGAATGTTCAGAATCAGTGGACAAATATATTGGTATATCAATTAAAAACAAGTTTGATTGGATATAGTTAAAGAAAAAGATATTTGTGAAACTTGGAAAAAGTTTGCACAGTTCTTTCCAAACACAAAAATGCATTTTAGAGTGTCAAACAAATGCTTAAAAAACAGGTTTGACCCCCCACCTACTTCTGGCAAAATGTTCAGAGGATACCACTGCTAGAGTCGCATGTCTGGTTAACAAAATGTCATACATGTAATCCCTATATAATTAGTTGGACCATGAATTTTAGTAATTTTGTTCAAAATATAAGAAGCAAGATTACAGAAGGTCATTTGGCCTATCCAAAAAAAACCGTTTTTTTTTATCTAACTTAAATATAGACATTCACATTAAAGTACTTGTCTAACAAAGTTTAAAAATGATTAGTATTAACAGCACAGACTATATCTATCATCAACTAAACCATTTCACGATTTTATAACTCCTAACGGGAAAAAAAATTAAATGCTTTTCTAAAGGGGTCTAATAAAGATTCCACCACCTTGCTAAGAATAGAGGTAACTGTGGTACAGCTTACTACAGTATTGTAAAATTATCTAAGATATAGCATTTTGGTTTAAATTATGTGCTTCACTATAAAGTTTAGTTACAAACCCATTTTAATAATTGCTAAAAATAATAATTATAAGATAGTGCTTAAAACAAGTTTTTAATGCAAACTTCTTGTTCTTCAGTCTACAATAAAAAAAATAAAAGAATACATAATATAGTTATATAGTTCCTTGTAAAATGCTTTTACTCATACTTCCAAAGTGTTAGATCTAGTAAAAAAGTTTGACAGTCATCTTTATTCAGAAATTGTAAAATTTCTTTGGGCTTGGTTTTTAATTGGAAAAAAAAATGGTAACAATGCTGTAAAACAAGTATGAATGTTACTCATATGTTTCTTTGTAAGGAAATATATATAAAATATTTAAGACATTATATTAAGTAATTCAAAAAAGTATCCATTCTGTTGTACTTTATACATTTTTGCTGTTTGTCTTGTCAAACCGTGTATGGCCAAAAGCTCAATTTTACAGGTTCAGATATACATGTTTTTGAAAACTACAAAAATGAAGGCATGTGAATTACAAGGGTTTGATAAGGAGACAGATGTACCATTTATAATTGGAAGATGCATACATGGTTTTGACAAAATAATTTCATGTGAAACACAAATGAAAAAATTGGCTTGCAGGGTTTTGACATGACATAACAATATGCAAGTTATTGTATGTTGATCTTAGAAATGTACTACTTAGTGGTGAAAAGATGTATGTATATAGTTTTTTTTCTGTAATGGATAAAACATTTTATTTTTTGTGTTTTATAGATGGAGGTTCTCTATGGGCTCCTTACAAAGATCTTTATGCCAAAGTCGGTGCTGCTATTTATTATAAAGATCCTGATGCTGTACCTGAATTGGAAGCAGCCCTCAAGAAATACAAACCAGACTTCATTTCTCTTTTGAAAAACCCTGTATGTATATATGTAAATATATACAAGTTTTTTTGTGTGGTTAACACTACAGTAAAATTAGGGTTAATATAGATAAGAATATAACTAGAATGGTTACACATTTCAAATACATAAAGAGTGTAGGGAAGGAAAAATTTATGGGATCTGATTATTGGTAACTTACTTGTTTGGTTCCAGTGACAGAGTTATTTAGTGAAAGGCACATAAAAAAAAGAATGAGACTTTTGTGTGTATCTATGAAATATCCGTGGATTTTCAACATTTTTGAGGTTGCCAGTGTTATTTTTCAGATGTAAATCTAAGGAGCTGCAAGTGTTCAGAGAAGCATTTGCACTGAAGTAATTCATAACACTGCATTCTTTGTGCACATCAAAATATATGAAACTTCCATAACTTTATTAATCATTATGAAAAGGTCAGTTCCAAAATGTAAGTCACAAACATTATATACATGGTACCAAGCAAATAATGAAGATTGCAGTTTCAAAATTTCTTTCCTTTTTTTATAGTATGAATAACTGTTCCCCTCAATCAATTTCATGTGAACTTATTTTTAACATTTTTGTTAATTTATTTTATTCACTATTTTTTCCTTATTAAAAACTTTGCAATGATTGTCAAATTTTAACAAAACAAATGTGTAGTATAAACTGGAAATCTCAATTCATCAGACCTTTTTGCATCAGTAATAATAGAACTATCACAGTGTTGCAAAATAAGATCTCATTTTTGCAGAAACATCTTAAATCATTCTAATCATCTCAATTACTCACATTTTCTAATGTAAAAAGTACACTTTTGCACCTTTTTTTTTCCAATTTTCCATACTCTTAATTACAATCTTTAATTAATTTTAACAAAATATGTGACTTCACCTAATCTAATTTTTGGTTTCCAGGTCCCAGATAACCCTGGCCTCTTAGTTTCACTCATATTATTTCATATTGTTTTTTCATCCATTCAAACTTGTCCATTTTACAGTGTTTTTTTTTTATACATGTAATACCCCTCAATTATTCATATCAATAGCAATGGTATACCAGGTTTGCAGATTATTTGTTTCTTGTTACTCTTATACTCTTGTTTATCTGTTGTTACTCCCTCCATACATTCGGATTTGTGCATGGTAGTCATGTTTTTCCAGAGTTCCTTTGGAGCCTTTAAAAGTCTTAAATTGGTTTTTGTGTTTTTAAGGGCTTGAAAGGTCTGAGATAAATCACAGACCAAATGAAATGTTCATGCTCTCAGTAGACATGCAGTTTTAATACCAATAAAAAATATGTATGTTTACTGAGAGTGAGAACATTCTATTTTGGCCTGTGAATCATTCATCTTGATGAAGTGCAGCTACTGCTGTAAAGTATTTGAACTACCTGGCATCCTGCATGCATGCTCAAGCAAGCATGCACAGTGGGTGTAATGCAAATATTGAATTCCAAAACACACTTACCTCCACTGACACAGTAGCTATTTCTCAATCTTCAGGGTTTGCACTCTTTGCCCATCTAAGTATTGAAAGTGCTTGTCCCAGTCTTTATATACCCCACTTGAATGCTCTTGGTAAATTCTGATTTGCAAATTTCTTCACCAACTTCAATGCACCCTCTATCTAGGTACTGTATATAAGCACCTCATTCAGATAATGTAACCACTTTTTCTCGATAAAGCTTTTGTCACAGGTTTCTATAAACAAAAGTGTTGTGATTATTCACAAAATTTACATTGTGACTTTGGACATAGTTGGAGTGTCTAGTGTTATATTTTCACTTATATTTATAAATTACTTAATTAAAAAAAAACAACGATGGGTATGAATTCCCAAATTAATGTTTCTACTATGGAGGCCAACCAGACTTCTCTTCCACCTCTGCTATTTGATGTTTGTCAACGGCCAGGTGAGGGGTCACTCTCAGTTGAGGCTGTCCGTGATATGATCCGTTGCGAGATGGAGACATATATGCGGATCGAAGGTGTCTCTCAGGGTGGTTCTGAGGTGGTTTTTGCAAATGACTCAGGATCAGCTGGAGAGAATTTAGACTCGCTTTTTCCGGCTCCTCCTTTTACTAGGTCAGCTTCAACAAAGAATCCTCTTGATCAATTACCTCCAGCTCCTTTTTTTCAGTTGGTTACTCGAGTTTAGGAGGTTTTGGGGTCTCTCCTATTGCATTTGACTCGACTCCTTCCTTGTTGAAAGAGAGGACGGCTAGTGACTACTTGGTTTCTTCTTCTTCTCCTGATATTGCTGTTCATGCTTGGAGATTTGTTGCTAAGTTATGTGATGGGATAGCTCTGCCTTGTCCCCCTTGTTTATCCAAACAACATTATTTGGCTTTTCACCACCAGGAGGAGTTATATTTAGATTCTCAATGGATGAAACCCCTTTTGGACTTGTGGAGTTCTAGATTGGAACCTGTGATCACTTTGAACAGATCACAGTTTTCTGGGATTAGTCTTACTCTCACTACTGTCCTGAGGTATTTATACTTCAATCCAACTTTTGTTGGAAGCCTATCAACGTTCCCCTCAGCAACTTGAGGACAAATTGGGGACTTTGCTTATGTCTATTTCAGCCAGATTGTCTTCTTCATTTCTTTCTCTGGTTTCTTGGCTGGTTTGTTGTTAGGATTTACTGGGTAGAGACGCCTTGTTAGAAAGTGTTCGTTTACCATCTTCTGCCCTCAGGGAGTTAGGGGAAACTCTTTTTCTCTGTCCCATGTGGTTTGCTGGGGTTCCAGAGATGTTGGAATCACAAATTGATTCACCTTGTTTACATTCTTCTTTATCATCATTAGCTTCTCGCTTTTCTGGTGCTCCTCCTTCAGTTCCCAGGTCTATTCGTTCCCATAATAGAGTCTGTCTGTATTTTCGAGGATCTTCGACTCGGATGAACCATCGAAAATGGCATCGGTGACTATACTGTGGGTGAGGGAGCAGTGGGAGCATGATTGTCATTTTCTGGACATCTGGAGCTCTTTCACCAGGGATCCATGGGTACTTCATGTTCTGGATTCAGGGTTGGTTATTCAATTTACATCAACTCCACCATTATCTGCTAAACTTGTTGCCTCTTCACCTTGAACAGATCCACGACAAGTGGAGCTTCATTCCCAGGCCAGGGCTCTGAATAACCAAGTTTGATGTTACCAACACTTATCTACATATTGCCATAGTGGAATTTTCACTGGGGGTTTCTCAGGTTTATGCACAAGGGTCAGGTCCTGCAATTCAGGGATCTATCTTTTTGTTTTGCATCAGCACTTTATGTCTTTTGCAGAGTTGTACGAGCTTTTTCTTGTCATATGCCTTCTTTGGGCTTGTGCACATATCATTATATGGATGACTGACTCCTTCTGGCACCATCCTGTCGATTAGCAGAACAATACTCTCAGTAGCCACAAAAGTGGGCTTTCTTATCAAACTGGAGAAATCTATTCTGTCACAGATTCAATATCTCGTCCATCTGGGTGTGTTTTTCAATACTCACTTAAGTTGAGCTCAACCAACCCCTATCAGGTTACAAGCCATGGAAAGAGCCATCAGGTTTTTACTTCTGTCTCCTTTTTCTACTGCGGGGATGGTTCTCTCTTTTTTTTTGGTGATATGGGCATCCCTCAAACCTCTCATTCCTTTGGGATGAGCACATATGAAGTCTCTTCAGTGGTCACTGTGCGATCAATGGATCATGCATTCTGACCTTTTGGATTATCCTGTCATTACTCAGGAGCAACATTGTCAATTGCCAATTGCCAATGGTGGTTGGATCGGAATAACAATACTATTGGAGTACCCATTCCACCACCTCGTCCTGAGATCCATCTGTCCACAGATGCATCTATTCAGGAATGTGGAGCTTATCTTCAGGGTTAGGAGTTCCAGGGTATTTAGACAGAAGACGAGTCTATCCTTCATATCAACATTCTCGAACACCTTGCAGTTCACCAGGCTTTGATTTAAGGTCTGTCTCTCTTGAGGGGAAAAGTTGTCATATGCTCATCATATCAGTCTTTTAGCATGTCATGTTCCAGGAGTGATAAATTTAATTGAAGATCACTCGTCTCGACCCAACCGAATTCTTCCGACAGAATGGATGCTACATCACAAGGTTTTTCAGTGGATTTGCTCTCAGTTCAGGTCTCCAATGATCGATGCCTTTGCAACTCATTGGATTTCTCAACTGCAGTTGTTTTGATCTCCGATACCTCATCCTCAGGCATTGGCAGTAGAGGCATTCAGTCAAGACTGGACAGGTTTCCACCTGTATACCTTTCCCTGAATTTGGCTATTGTCCCCGTTCTGACTATTGTTCCTTCCACTCCCTGTCAAGTTCTCTTAGTTGTACCACACTGGCCAGCTCAAACATGGTTTCCGCTTCTTCGATATCTGCAGAATGTTTACCTCTACCTCTTCCACACTGGAAGTCTCTGTTGAGACAACCTTGTTCAGATATTCGCCACCCAGATGTTTGGGAACTCAGTCTTTATGCTTGGAAGTTATGCGGTTCTTTGTCTAACATAAAAGTTTAATTTTTAAGGTTTCTCTGTATTTAATTAAATCTCTCCATAGGCCAACCACTGCTGTTTATCAACGAAGATGTAATACTTATCTACACTGGTGTATTAAAAAAAATTTAAACCCTTTCCATCCTAAAGTATCTACCATATCCCCTTTTTCAACTTGGATATTTGAGAGGGGTTTTGTTTCGTCTACAGGAGTTTTGTATAAGGCATCCACTATTTTTCAGTATTCTAAATATTGGAAGGTTTTTGAATCCTCAGTACTATCAGGTCTACTCAAATCTTTTCATAGTCTTCAACCCAAATGACCTTTTCAATTACTGAAATGGGATTTTACAGTTGTTTCACACACATTGTCTCATCCTCCCTCTGAGCTCTTAGCTTCATGTTCTTTGTTTTACCTCTCTCTTAAATTTTATTTTTTGTTGTTGTTGTTGGCTTGTGGACGTCATCGGTCTGAGTTTTTTGCATCAGAATCTTTATCAT